AGTGCCGCTCTGCCCACCTCTTTCCATTTTTGGAAATGCTCCCCTTATACACTGACTTCTATATATCGACATGAATAACCAATCAGAAGCTCAGAATGTCACCCTAGTGGCTTTCTCAGCCATTTTAATGGACTTGGCACCATTTCTTTCTTATTAACTAATATTTCAACGAGGTAGGGTGTGTTCTTAGTCTGCTCAAAATTTCATTTTTTTTAGACTAAAATACACCTTAGTTACTAAGCTTTATAAATTATAGAGAAATTCTAATATATTAATGTAGTAATTTATGATTTTTTAGTTATTCAAATGTATATATAAAACCTTAAAAAATTATTTTGTTTCATATCCTCCACGTGCAAAATTTTTAAAGGCTTAATAACCAACATAAAGCAGCAAGCAAGTACAAAGGTTGTAACTAGAAGAGATAATTGTTTGCTTTACTTCATTATTTACTGTTCTATGTTTTAGGAAAAATATTTTTAAGAACTTATTTCAAAACAGAAATAATCTATATACATATATTGTATAATAATTGAAATTTGACTGTATTTTACAAAATACTAGTCTACTAAAACACAGCCAAGACAAGTTACTTTGCACAGACCAAACGTCAGTTTTATGTTAATTGATACTGTAACATGAATGCATGTGAGCATCATTGTAACTTATGTATTGTTAGCCAGGCATGGCTGAAAGATCAATATAATAAAAATAATAAATATATATAAATGTATTAGGTTATGAAATTTAAGCTATTTCGTCTAAACATTTATGTTTTCATGTAATAATCTGTATTCATTCTAGAATGAAAGAGGCATAAATTATATTTCCAAATTTTTTATGGTGGTTGCGAGATTGGTCAAAACTACCGAACCCGTACAGAGATTAATTACTGAAAATAACAGATAAAATATACAGAGTTTTCTTAAGAAATGTTTGATAACTATCCAAACATTATAAAGATTTCACACGTGAAATTTCAAAATTTTCTGATGCATAAAAGTATTTTTAATCGTAAAAGGAATATTACTTTACATGACAGATAGGCGAACA